CTTGAACCAGACCACACCAAATCGTGGACTATCATGAGTAAAAAGCAGTGTAAGGATCACTGCCCATTCTTCCAGTCCTAGTTGAATACACTGGGACCACCTGCTTTTCAAAGTAGGCTTTTCGTGATCATTCTTTGCACTGTCTTATGGTGTTGCATTCCTCTGGACTCCCAACTGCATTGTCCCCCCTCTCCCAGTGGAATACATGAGTCTTTGCCACTTACTAATTCCTAGCCACTAGGGTGGTGGACCATGGAGGCTTCCTCCTGAGTGTGACAGATTCCACTGATGTGAGAGTAGGGCGGTGGTGTTCTTTTGGTGTAGATGGTGAGAACTCTCCTCCTACTGCAGACCAGAAGAAAAATTCCTGATGCCACCTGGTTTTGGACTGGACAAATCTACCACATGCAGTTAACCCCTCCGGCTGGCTTTCTCCCATTCTACTGCTGCCTGGATGTGGGTTTCCAGGTGGTCTGGTGTTGGATCAGTGCAGGACCAGCCAATATAAATGTTCACATGTGGTTAGTAGGGACCCTCCTCCTACCACGGACCAGACAATGATGCCTGTTTTTGACTGGATTTGACCCAACACGTTTGAATACCCCCTTCCTACCATCACCTGTATGTCAAGTTCCCAATAGGCCAGGTGCTGGTTGTGTACTGGGTATGCAAACATATGCCCTAGAAGACATATACCCGATGCTGCATTGTTGTGGGATGGAGTTGACCCACTGAGTATGATCTGATGCACCCTAGCCATTCTACACCATCTGATGCATCCAATTACAGATTGGATGTGCATCTTTTCTACCCAATTTAGAGACACATATATTTACTATGGGTGAAGAGTATAACTAGATGAGGTGTAGTCTTCCATGGGTGTGACCCTATACATTAGGGTATCACACTTCTTTGGTTCTGTTTGGGAACCTTCTGAAGAGTGCTCATCTTGGTAACTTTTGCACAGGTCCCTCTACTATTTCAATGTGGGATTTTAGTACATAAGTTATGAGGCTAGTTCATTCAGGCACCAGATTTGGAAATAATTTACCTCAGTTTCACTAATTCCCTTTGTAATTTTTAGGCTTGACTAGGTTAGAGTTAACACGTCCCTACACTGAAAATGTATTTCCAATAGATAATTACATCTCCTTACATAATAGCTTTTCTCAACTTGCACTGCCCTCTAAATGCATGATTTTCACTTGCCTTGATGCCCCAACTTACCCTCACTGTTCCATGCAAATGAGCATGCAATAACTCTCTATCTAGGAATGCAACACACCCTTTATACTGTAGAGCACTATCATCACTTTGAGATTAAGCACAAAAGATGCATCAGAAATGGAGAGGACAGGTAATAAGTGTGAGAAGAGGTAAGCATCTATCAGAAATACATTTTCAGTGTAGGAAAATGTTAAGTTCTGATATGATACCTTACCTCCATTGGCACATAAGTAAACCAGAATATTCTCATTCTATTGGTTATAAATAATCCAATAGCAAATGTCGGAGAGAATTATCAACACGTTTTGAAAGACAGGAATGATAGGAAGGGCATGGCATGTGAGATTGTCTTTCTTGTTTGTATCACAGAAACGTGAAGTTTGTAGGTTATAAATTTATATTTTGTCTTACCAATATTTGTAGTAGAAATGTATATACTGTGTCAAACTCACAAGATCATATAAGAGAAGAAAGAAAATCTAAAATTCAGAGAGAGACATGTCATGTGAAGATTGAGAATTTATTCAAATATTTCCTTTTGAAATTATAGTATAATATAATATTAAAATGTGAATTGTAAATTACATTTTGATGCCAAGTTTATTGACACACATTGATCATAAAGTGACAGTGGTTGATAGCCTTAGCAGTTTTGCCATATCAAAGACAGGATGTGCAAATTCAGTGGAAATGGGAATTTAACTGTAGACCTTTGAACCATGAGCCTCAACCCTGAATCACCAAAGTTGAACAAACTTGAAGTAAAAAAACAATTTATAAAGCTAAAATTGAGAAAAGCACAGATAGCCTATTATGTAACTTTGTGCTTAACTAACAAAGGTAATAGCAATATTTTGATTTCTTGGATAGTTGGAATAACCAAAAATAGTAATGATCATAAACCCTAATTTTGATTAATTGATTATCTTTGTGGCAGTTGATTTAATCATAATTTTGATCATTGATTTAATCATAATTGTGATAATTGATTTGTTTACTGACTGGTAATCAATGTATACAAACCCTGCTGATAGGTAATTAATTAAATCACTCAAGCTCTAATATGGAGCATAACTAATTCCTTTTCGTAAGTGTTTTCATTAAAATGCTGATTTCTTCTATTCTTCATCAGATAGTCTAATCACTTTATGGTGTCGTTATTTTATCATCATTATGGAAGATTTTTGCTTACTCATGATCATTGTTGAAATAAACAATATTAACATTGCATTTCAGTAGGAACAGTATGAAAACTCTGAAGAAGGTGTGTAAAAACAGTACTGTTAGTAATAGAAGAGGTCAAGGTAGAATGCTTGAACATTTCAAAAGTGATATTAAGTAACTTAGAATATGTTCTTTATGTGGTACATGACAATCTATTAGAGATTTTGCTAGTGATCTCGCTTTAAGTACAAGTGTGAACGTTACATTCAGAAGATACATGTTAGCATGAAGTGGACTTAGTGGATGTTTAGCTACTTAAAATCCACCTCTTAGGAGAGAGAAGAAAATTGAATGGTTTAAAAGCTTATCAGCTGGAGGAAGGTGATATGTGTGGATGAATTTAAATTGTTTGGTAACAATCAACAATAGTTTGATGTCATAAAGAAGAATGGTGTTATAGTCAGTGTACAACTTCTACAGTGAAGCATTCTGAGGGACTGATGCAAATTTAGACTGCATTTTATCCAATGGTGTTTAAGATCTATACAAAATTGATTGATTGCTGAAAAATACAAAAGTTTCTTATCCATCATGCTATTCATTCTCTCATTGACAAGATTTATTGAGCAGATATTTATCTACCAACAAGACAGTGATATCAAGCATGCAGAAAAAGTATGTTGAAATAATACCTGGAATGAAAAAGAGGATGATGGACAATTTGCAACCATGAATATTATTAAAGTTTTATGGGCTTATAAGGAGACAAGTTAAATGGCAACCATACAATATAGTTGAATTATATGGGGTAATACAGGACATTTGCAACAGTATTTCACAGCTATGCATTGATAAACTTGTGGTAGGCTAAAAACAAGGTGTACTGGTCTGTTTTAGGTAAATACACTGTATTAGTGCTTTGTACAACTTACTTTCTTTATTTCTTTTTTTGGATTTTCTTGAATAATGTGTTTTACTAATGATAAATTAACCATTTAGTTGTGATTGTTTATTGTTTGTGACTCCAGTATGTTGCACAAGTACATTTCTATAATTATTTCAAATATTGTTCATTTAGTACTTTAGTTAAATCGCGTTTTTAAGATTTATAGTTTAAATGCTAAAAGCAGTGAGGTATTAGAAAGAATCTAGTTGATGTAGTATTTGTAATAAAAAGCAGTTAATAGAAGAATATCTGCAGTGTAAATGATTTTCATCACAAATGTTAGGCATGTTCAATCATCATCTTATATTTCCTGAGAAGATCTAGTTAACTTGAATGTTCAGTAACAATCAAGATATTTAAATAATGTTCAGCCAAAGAAGGGAACTTTGAGTATTATTTTAAAAGTGATAAAACTTGTATATCAGAGTATTTAGAGCATTAGTGGGCTCTGCAACCACAACTAGATTCAATACAGAGCAAAATACTCATCTTCAAAGTGAAATTTGTGGTTAAAAAAAAAAGAAAAAAACACTTCTACCTAAGAAGCCATTTTAAAGAAAATTGTAATCTTCTGGTGCCATTAACAACATAATAAACAAGGATTTGAAGTTAGAGAAAGTTCATCAGTCAAATCTTCAAAAGCTGTTAGTCACACATAGCAGTCAGTAGCTGTTTGCTTTAGAAAGATGTTCAACAAATTTTTGATTGGACAGTCTCTTTTGACCATGTACCTGTCAAATCTCTCAGTGGAGTTCAAATAGACTTCTGTGCCTTGGTTTGCATAAGTGTGACCTTGGAAGATGATGTTCATCTGTAGAAATTTTGTAAACATATGTGATCTAAGATTGATCTTGCTGGCCTTCAACGAAGCTTGTTACACTGGAAATGGTATCGTTAAGCTATAGTATGTTTGACACTATAGGAAGTAGTAGTTCCAAAAGCAGCTTGGGACTTTTTTGTACATCATACTTATAAAGAGTGATTTACTGTGTAAGAAATTTTTTTTTCATATTTAAAATGGAATAGAAGTACTTTAGAACATGAGTAAATGATGAAATATTAAGTTTTAAATTAATAGAGTAACCCTCGTTGTCCCAAATAATGGCATTGAAGAAAACCATTTATTTTAGTATTACTCAAGCCTTAAAATTAATTTCTTTTTTTAGGATTTTTTATTTTGTAACTTTTACATAATTTTAATGATCTGATAGCTGATAATTGTAGATTAATTTTGTTTTGGCTATAAAAAATACAGAAAACATTTTTAAATATGTGAAAATATTTTTAATTACATGGAAATTAATCTTAAAGTTTCACAAGCATCTTTATTCCTCGTGCATTATGCTCAGTTGATACAGAAAGTTGATAGAAATGCTAAAAATTTTATTTTATCATTCCATAACAAACAAATTATGCTCCATTTTGTGTATTTTAGCTCATTTTGCAAATTATTTGGAAATTGTTTTTAGGCCACTATTGTTCAAGCTGCTGGGAAGATGGGTGTATAAGATACTTATTAAGCTACAGTAGTAAAACATTCTAATTGCAGCCTGGTGGGTTGGCAGTCAGTAATGTGCATGACTGAGAAAAGTTGCATTTCTCACTCTGTGTGAAGTGTTTTTTTTTTTATAGAAGATGTGTTACTGTAATTTTTATTATACAGGTTTTGAGTGATGATAAGAAGAGAAAACAGTATGATCAGTTTGGAACAACAGCAGATTTTGGGTCTGCTGGTACAACTGGATTTCATGATTTTCAGTCATCTATTGACCCAGAGGAACTTTTTCGTAAAATATTTGGAGATTTGGGAATGAAGACTAGGTTTTCTGATTTTGATTTTGGAGAACCACAGTTTGGATTTGGAAACTCACAAGAGGTAATTACAATTTCTGTTTATACTTTAAGTGTTTTTAGCATTTAATTCCAAAGAAAAATGAAGTTTATGTTTCATTACACTCTAAAGGAAAGTTGTTTTTAAACTAAGGAAAGTATCTTCATCATAGCAAACATCTTGTACATTACATAAGTGCAGAAGTTTATTTTATCACAACAAATTTTCCAATCAATATAAAATATTTTACAATTATTTTTATTATACCAAAGATAGGAAATAGTAAATAATTTAGCCAATTTTTTCTACCCAATAGCAAAAGATTGTCTTCTATAATATATATTTTTTTGTAGCTGCAGCAGCAAAAATAACCAGTATCGCATTACAAGAGTTTCTAATCCAAATTTTGTGAAAGGAATTTAGTGATTTGTGTTGATTTGTTTTGTTTTTTTATTAATTTTCTCTTTTTTAATTATTTGAGAAGATACCACTCTGACACTAGGTGGTGCTTTAATCACATTTAACTCTCTCACTACAGGCCTTGTGACCGTTTTGTGCTTGTTGTAGTTTTCATACTATAACTTTAATGCAATAAGCATATCTTTAAGAAAGTTTGCAGATTATCAGTAAACATTACAAGGTTCTCGTACAAAAAATATCAGATTTAAAAAAATTAAGTTTTAAGATGTTTTTTAAGTTATGATTTTCGCATGCATCTTTTCTTTTCGAATGTTGACTGTCCAACATGCAAAATAATTTTTATTTTAAGATTGAAAATACTTTTATGCATAAGGAAATTGTCAAATTTAACATGCAAAATCTTTAGAACCTCCAGATAATTATCAAATGTTTTTTGACCGACCTCATAACCACCATAAAAAATTAGGAAATAGATATAAATTACACTTTTCATTTTAGAATGACTACAAATTATTACACGAAACCACAACTTTTTTAGACTAAATTGCTTAAATTTCATAACATTATCCCTCTATATATATTTATTATTGACCTTTCAGCCGTATTTGACTAACATTACAGAAGTTGCAATAATGTTACCGTATCCAACAGTATAAAACTGGCCTTTACAAAGCAACCTGTCTTTACTTTGTACTAGTTGACAGGGGCATCGAGAGCTAGCCCAGGCCCCAGGGTCAGTAATATCATTGCCCCCCCCCCCTTTATTCTGTTTATTAACTTCTGCTGATTTTTCATAAGTGAAATTTCAGGGAAAAATCTTTTCATGAATCCATGAAATAGCAGTAGCCATTTTAGCTCATTAAGTAGTATGCATTTCTAGTGAGCTTCGGAATATCCAACTGATGGGCCCTTCAAAAGACGTTGAGTCCCAGGGCAGCTGCTGCTAGTGGACTAGTATTTTGTAAAAATACAGTCACATTTCAGTTATAATACATTATATATGTGTATATATATATTATTACTATTTACAAATAAATTCTTAAATTTCAGTTACCTTTCTTAAAACATAGAACAGTAAATAAAAAAATATAGAAAACAATGATATCTTCTACTTACGAACTTTGAACTCATTTGTTGCTTGACATAATTTGCTATGCCTTGTCAAATTTCCCATCTGAAGGATGTAAAACAGAATAATTTTCTAAAACATACTTATCTTTGCTGACATTATAGCTATTTCTCGATCTCCAGGGTTTCCACTCTTTGCCCATTTAATCATTGAAAACACTTGCTGCAGTCTTTTATATCTCACTCAAATACCTTTAGCAAATTCTGATTTGGAAAATTCTCCACCAACTTCAATGCACCCTCTATCTAGATACTGTATATAAGCACCTAATTCAGATAACATAATCACTTTTTCTCGACAAAGCATTCGGCACGGGTTTCTATAAACAGGAGTGTTGTGATTATTCATAATTTACATTGTGACTTTGAATGTGGTTGGCGTCACTATGGTTATATCTTTATTTATATTTGTAAATTACTTTAACAACAACAAAAAAAAACACATACCTACAGTTATGAATTCTTGAGTTAATTTTTCTACAATGGAGGCCAACCAGACCTCTTCTCTTCTACCTCTGCTATCTGGTGTTTGTCAACAGCCAGGGGAGGGGTCACTCTCAGTCGAAGCTGTCCATGATTTGATCTGTTGTGAGATGGAGTCATATATGTGGACCAAGGGTATCTCTTCGGGGGATTCTGAGGCTGCTCTTGCAAATGACCCGGGATCAGCTGGGGAAAATTTAGACTTGCTTTTCCTGCTCCTTCTTAACAGGTCAGCCTCAATAGAGATCATCTTGATCACCACTCCAGTCCCCTTTTTTACGTTGGTTACTGGGTTGTGAGG